CCGTTTGCTGCCATGCCTCACAGGAGACTAGGACTTACTGCAGAGGTTCTGGTAACATCCCCTTCCCCTGTTCCCTACAAAAAGTAAAACTATGCTCTTCAATTCTATCTAAAAATTCTCAACAGAAGTTGAATTTCTTTGTTCAAAAGAGAATTTGGCAAGTGTTAGGTATTCAAAACAGAATGACAGGCTGGGGACTTAGCTCAGTGGTTCAAGGACCTCACAGGCTCAAGGACCTGAGTTTGATCCCTGATACCAAAAAAAAAAAAAAAAAACCCACAAGGACTTTCAGAGAAGACTTTCCTCCTCAATTTAGGAAGGATTAATTTAATGTAGCACCTGATACTATCTGACAAGTGAAGTGCTTAGCTCCATGCCTGGACTGGGGTGGGAGCAGCAAGCACTGACCTTGTCCTCAGGTTGCCCTGCAAGCATTCTGTATAGCAGGCCTGCTTTATTCCTCTCAACTTTTGATTCTCACTTAACTGTTCCAATGACAGCTATATTCATAAAACCAAAATGAAATTGCTACATTTTTGGATAAGTCTGTGAGCACCCCAAACCCAAAGTATTGTTGTCTGGGATAGGGAGAAAAAAGAGGGAAAGAAGCACAATTCTGGGAGTGAGTAATCACAGTATGGCATGGGGATGGGGGTACTTTGGAGGCACCAGAGAAAGCCATATGGATTCAGGGACCTAAGCCCTCTGGGAGAGAGGATGGCAATTGGAAAACAAGGTGGATGAAAGAGTTGAACTGAAATTGACAAGTGGACCCCAGAGCACAGAAGTAGAAGACAGGCAGAAGCCAATGCCAGCGTCTGTGGGAATCCCATTGTTTCATACCTTCTCCTTTTGGGACCACTGGTCCAGCACATCCCCAGCAAAGTTAAAGTTCTTAGGCAGCAGCCTGTCACAGCGATTTATGGCTTCAAAGTCAGCAGGAGTCATAGCTGCCCAAAGCCGGGCGTCTCTGTGAAAGGACCAGACGGATGGCTGGGTGACCCAGATGAATCTGAACAGCCGGCAGTGGAGAAAGCTCTTCATGGTTCCCAGAGGACTTTGTCTACTGGTAAGGATGTAGGAGTACCCCAGCCTGTGGGGAGAGATGGATGGACAGTGTCAGCCAGAGATTAGGAAGTGGCCTCATGTGTCCCTGGGAAGTTGAGGAGCTCCTGAAAAATACCCCATCCTGTTTCTGGACTGTTAGCCAGTGACTGGTCTCCTGCCAGTGAACTCTCCCTCGTCATTCTCTCCATGACCAGGTTAGTCTATTTAAAAAACAAAAAAAAACTGGGCCGGGGATTTGGATCAGTGGCGCCAGCACCTGCCTCACAAGTGCAAGGTCCTGAGTTCGATCCCCGGTACCAAAAAAACCCAAAAACCTACAGTGATAGAATTGTCAAGCTCTACCTTCACCCCAGCAAACCCATGAACAGAGTATATGCTGCCTGGGTTGGCATTCAACCCAGGGTTGGCCTCCATTTGCCCTACCCTTTTCTAATTGATAGGTCTCCCACTACCTCAGCAGCTATCATGTATAGTAGCTGCCCTCTTCCTATGGTGCCTTGCCCCCTCCCCTGTGTGACCTCATGCCAAGATGGTTGCTCCCACCAAAGAACAAACCCTTCTTCCCAGCATGCCCCTGTTCCAACCTAGACAGTAACCTAATACTTGCTCACCTCCTACCACCTAGTGACATCACCGGCTCCTCCATTCCCTAGTCACCACCTCACTCAACCCCACCTCAGCCCCTACAAACCCCACTGCAGTCTCTATAAAAGACTCTCCCTGCCCCGGCCATATTGCTTTTGTCTCTCCTTTGTTCAGAGACAGCCCGGCACATCTATTCCCCTAATAAAGGCTTGTTGTGGCCTGGTCTGGTCTTGGTCTTTGGCCTTTTACCTGACACTAATCATATCTGCTAACTCCTCTGCTTGGATTTCCTCTTCCAGTTGAAGCAGCCCGTTCAGCTTTCATGAATGTCAATTTCCAGCACTGAGATTGAGCTTGCCGTCCCCCTTGGTTCCGGTCACCCTACCCTCCTCTCCCCTTCAAATATCAGGTAGAATTGACTATAAACCTTCACTGAAATACTGGATCCAGAACTTTGGGCAAATTACTTATCTTCCCGTACCTCAATATTTTTACCTGTAAAATTGCAATAATGTAATAACTCCCTCCCTAGGGTTATTGTGAAGATTTAATAAGATAATGTGTTTAAAATTCTTAGCTTATAAAAGGTCTCTTCAATTGTTAACTGCTATTTTAAGATAATTTTTATTAGTACTAGTGTGGCTCAGTTTCATACAGTGTAAGTCAGGAGACCTGGATTTTACTCTTAACTATCTCGAAACTAGCTTTGTAACATTGGTAAAGTCACCTACACTTTCTCCCATCTGTAAGCTAACTTTTTTCTAATTGCATCATCACTATTTCCTTGGAATTTCCATAACTTGCATCTGGACTATTCACACAAGAGTGGTCTGCCTTATATCCCTAGTTATCATTTGTATATACGTGCTTTATCTCCTAATCTACCTAGGTGATGTGGGTTTTACATTCTTAGCACTAAACATGACTCCTAGCCAATAATAAAATCCAGTGTTCGTGAAGTTCTGTAAGCCAACACTTTGCACTCCTAATATCACTCAACATTCATGACAAGCTTGTGAGGTGGGTGCTATTATTATTTCCTTTTTACAGATGAAGACACGAGACTCAAGTATGTCAGGTAAAAGGGCCGAAGACCAAGACCAGACCAGGCCACAACAAGCCTTTATTAGGGGAATAGACGTGCCGGGCTGTCTCTGAACAAAGGAGAGACAAAAGCAATATGGCTGGGGCAGGGAGAGTCTTTTATAGAGACTGGGGTGGGGCTTGTAGGGGCTGAGGCGGGGTTGAGTGAGGTAGTGACTAGGGAATGGAGGAGCCG